ATATATATATCACAATAATATATATATATAGCATTGTTTAGCCCTAATTATGTGTGTATATGCAGTATTTCCAGGATGGCATAGATAATGTGTCTTCTTAACAATGTCCAAGTTTCCGGTTTTTCGATGTTTTTTTTTTTATTTATGTTTTAAATCCGGGTTGCCATGTATGGTATATGATATAGGTAACATCTACATATATCTACCCTTTGGTAATAAAACATAGCTATGGAAAATCATCATTTCTAGTAGGCAAATTCATGGATATATGATCATTTCCCACTAGATAATGGTCTATTCATCATCGTGGATATATGATATTAGCTAGATAATGATATATATATATATATGGATATATGATATATGATGGAGTAATCATCATTTCTAGTGGATATATAATATATATATATATATAAATGGATATATATATATACCCAGAGAGTCCCACGTCTATTCTTTGCCATGGATTCTATGTAAATCCTATTCTTTGCCCCGACCAGGCCGACCACGGGCCGACCACGCTGACCACGCTCTCACTCCATTTATAAACCTTCCCTGTGTTGCCAACATCGGTTAACTGTAGTACTAGCTTTAACACCCAAGCAAGATCTGAACAGATTTCCGACATGTAAAATCAGATTGGACTCTTACAATTTGATCCACGTGGCAATAATGACATCAAGTGTGATTTCTTGCAACACTTCTAACCCCAAGAGACATGCAGTGCGATGTGGGTGCGACCAGCACAGGAATAAGTAATTAGTCCATCCACTATGGACATCACAAGGTCACCCCAAAAATGGTTCAACACAACAAATGGTGACAGACCCAAAAATCATGTTTTTAAATGTTTTTCACAAATTCAAACCAACATTTTCTGAGCGTACATGATTTTGACTAATTTTTGGGTTCGTGGGACCACGGCAAAGTTTGGACTTTCCAAGGCAAAGTTTAGGTTTTCCACGGCAAAGTTTAGGATTTCCACGCGTGGACCACGCTGGGACCACGCACCCTATAGTTGTGTTTTTGTTCCTTTCGGTTGTGCTCCAAATGTTTCCAATTTGTCACAGGCCGTTTGGCCAAAAGTAGTTTTGACTATTAGCATTACTCCAGTACACAGGGTATGAACTCAGTGGTTTTTTGTTCATTGTCATAACAAAATGCATCTCTTAGCAGAACCCATGTGTGTCAAAAACATGGCAGCAGCAGTGGGTGGCAGGGGCGCAAAGACAATGAAGCAACGTTGTAAGTTTAAATAATCATGGCATATCATGGCAACCCTTCAGAATCACGATCGGATTTGATATCATGTCATCTATTCCTAGCGAAGGGCCTTTGAATAGCAATGTTTACGTTTTGAATGGTTGAATCACTGCCACCTCAGCCCCTGGAGGTGGCAAAGTTCGGTCGGTAACGGCAAAGTTTACACTAACCCTTAGGTCTATTCTTTGCCCATACCTTGACTCCCAGGGTATATAATATATATATACATAAATGGACCATTTTCCCTAGCTAAAAAAAGTGGGTTTATACTGGAAGGCGTCCCATGGCCAACACAAAATATTCCAATCTGAGCACGCCACAAAAGACATATTCCAACTGCCTCTCGTTGCCCGGGTCATCCAATAGGGCAATGCTGCCTCAGTAGAACGGTGATGTGGCCTTGATTGGCGACAAAAATGGATGCAAAATCACCTGATCTCACCATGAATCGTGGGGATTTAACTAGCAAAAATGGTGGTAGCATGGTTTATGATCCCATCCCTGGCATATCAAATACCGCACATATGCGCCTCTAAAATGAAATAAGCACAGTACTAAGCCAGGGGTTCTGATGGGTATAATGTCAAGGGGAAAGAGCTATTTGATGCATGGGTGACTAAATCCGCCAGTTGATCATTGCAAAAATAACAATGTACTTAGACGATATTTTTTTAGCAACCACTATATAGAGTGGAAAACTGTAGTACCAGTTGGGTGATTTCCTCACCAAAATGCTTGGCTAAGATGGTGACTTCAGTACATCAAAGTCCACTGCAGGCCAAAAAGGAGCTGCGTGACACATGTTTCTTCATCACCCACCTCAAAATCTTCCGAAGTTTCCGAAGTGCTTTTGATCCCCACAGGGAAAAAAAAACATGAACAATCAATGAACATCACAGCTATAGCTCTTGACAGGTCTGGCTTAGCATGATATAAGTAACAGAAGTTACTTCATCAAACTGATTCATTTAGCCGCTGTTCCGCTAGAGAATCTGTCCACCAGCCAGTCTCAGGCGCGGGCCGATCGCCTGGGCTAGCAGTGCACTTACTTAAAGGGTTGAGGATGACATCATCCAATCTTGGGATACCCTCCGGGAAACTAACATAGCTATGGAAAATCACCATGTTTAATAGGTAAATCAACTATAGATGGGTCATTTTCAATAGTTATGTTAAATTACCAGAGGGTATGTTGTTTGATAAGAACATATATAAATTATCGGCCAAACTTTGACCCCTGCACAAAACTGGATTAAAAAAACTTTGAGCCCTGCATTCCTCCATTCCATTTATCTGGGTAAATGACAATATATAATGTGTCAACCTGAAATAAGGACATTTGATGACATTTGGGGATGGTTACCCCATGTTACCCCGCCCCGAAAAACCGACCATTATTATTTTAGGCTTCGGTCGCAGTCACGTCGTTACAATTTACCCAGGTTTATGGATAAAGAATTCTCGAAGATATCCAGTAACCAACCTCTCACCATTCAGTCAGTTCACTCTAAATATCTGTGACATCATCTCCTCACCTGTCATCCTACCCAGTAATTACATGTAATTACAATACACCAATTTAAAAGATCTGTCTTTATACCCAATGTCCCCCTGTATATCCGAATATTTTTCAATTTGCGATGTTGTTCATCCCGTAAATAACATTAGTTCACCCAACCAGCTGCTTTGACATAATAGTTACCCATTCGCCAAGGATTTACTCTCAAGTCAAGTCAACATAGCCATAGCCATAGCCTTAGCTGTGGAAATCCATGGGTTCGAACCGGAAATTCTCTGCAGTCATCAGGAAATGATCTAATCCATGGTTTATTGCTCCTTAAGTCCACCTAAATTTGTCTGTACTTAGGGTACAAGTAGCCCCAAACATGGTACAAGGTGGTGCCCCCGTTCGATAGCTAAGTTGGTGAACATAACTCCAATTTCACTATGGTTTATAGGTGATATATCTATAGTTAATGGGCTTATAAACCAACTTATAACTGGGGGGCACCACCTTGTAGAAAATCATGATAATAATGATAACCCACTGGATTTGAAGGTACCCTACATTCAAACAACTCCACATTTGGTCGTGGGTCAAAACCCTCTCGCTTTTCTCGCTTTTGGCTGAAGTACCTGCTCGGAGGACGGAGACAGGTGCTCGTCCAAGTGACACAAAACTTAGTCTTCTCGAACTCCTGGTGGAACGTTTCCCAAATCCCTCTCAATCTGTCTCGCCGGCATACAAGTAATGTATGCTTTGTAACGGCTGTCAACTCGCTGAAGTCTGGCCTCACTGAAATTGGCCTTGATGGCCCCGCACCAGAAAGCAAGCACGTGACTGCTTGGACGTCTTTGTTGAATGTCCATGTCAAAGCCAACGGATTTCGCCAGTCCTTTGAGGTACCGCGAGAACCACTGTACGTGCAGCTTATAACTGTAAGGTTTGAGGCGGTCAGGTTCGATCCATTTGGGTCCTGTGCTGGCTGGACCCCACTGCTCAGAATACATTTGGTAGTCAACAAGCAATTGATGAAACGAAACCCATATCACTGGCTCCCCCGGCGAAATGAGGGTCTTCAACCAATGCAACACGTCTCTCATCTCTTGTATGCGAAACCTTATTGGGAAGTCATGGACTTGGAGTCCTGCGATGTGCTCAAGACCTGCATCTACATGGGATGCAAACTCTGTTGGCATTCCTTGTGGTGATGGTGTCTCGTTGATGGGTATGACTGTGGAAAGTGCACGCTGGCCAATGGCTACCAAAGTGGTGTGCCAAGCCACCCCAAATTTTCGAAGGTATGTGATTTCTTCTACAAGTTGATCAGCTAACCGTTGTAACTTCTTTGGGATGTGTTGAAAGGCATCTGCTGCGCACTTGTCTGCTGCGGCATTTCCTTGAACTGCCCAAGTGTCCAAACTTGTCTGCTGATCATTCGCATCTGCATGTGCTTGCACTTTGTGTACACTATGGAGAAATTGGTGAGCCAACCTGTACTGTTCACGTAGTAAAAACCAAAGGTCAGAGTCCTGTTTCTTGTGAATCACTGGGTCAAAACCTTGTAGCCACTGGTTGAACATTTCAAACACTTGTTGGTTGTCAATCCAAAATCTGCCTTTTTGTTGAGTTTGAACCAAAATTTTTAACGCTGAGATGGCTGCGGTTATCTCTGCTCGGAGGCTGGTTTGTTTCCATCCCGGGACGCCGCCTGAAGAGGTGGCCCAAAAATCACAACCTGTCCGCTGAACAACTCCCCAGCTTGCTATCCTTGTGTGAGGGTCATTGGGTCGTTTGCAGCTCCCATCCAAAAACAAGTCAAGGTATGTGAGGTCTGTATTGTTCGAAACAGGTGCAAAGAATTCGCCAGTGGTGTCAGGCATCTGCATGAGTGCCTCCCGGAAGGCTGTTTGGCTTTGGGCTCGTGGAATCCACCCGTGACACCAAGTGCTGGATGGCATTTCTGGGTGGTTACTCGGCTGTACATGCTTGTCACGGATGTCTTGGAAGAAAGCACATTCTATATTACGGTGGTAAAGGCTGTCATCTTGTCCACAGAATCTGCACTGAGCATCAGTTGTTTTCCCCGCATGGAAGAGTGCATCATTGGTATATTGAGTGGCGTTGAGTGCACATCTCAAGAGCCCCTGGTGTTCTACCGGTTGTGATTTGAAAAGCTGCTTGGTGAGCCTCACATCTGCATCGGTCAAGCCGACCATGGTAGTTCTGTCATGCTCTACCAACCCTTGTACATGTTGTTGCCATGCCAAAATGACTCTTTCACTAAGTTCACTGCGCGGACATCGCTGGAACCAGACTGGTAAACCATCTTGGTCATAGCACAAATCTCCTCCTTCCCAGCTCCATGACAAAGCCTGGAGTGCATTCAAGAAACTTTTGCATGGTCCCGGTGTGGTGCGTCCTTTATCCAAAATTTGACTAAGGGTGAATTGAGCCAAGTCAGGGGTACAGAAGTCTCGAAAAGTCAAAATGGTATTGAGGATGCAATATAACTCAGGATCAGTGCATGGGTTACTTACGCAAGAAAGTTGAAGCATGGGGTTAGATCCCATCTGGTGAAGGTTAAGGGCCTTTGTGGCTTGGGTCCTTAATTTCAAGAAATGGTTTTTCCCCAGGGTGACTGTACTGATACCGTAGAACATGTTGGGCCAGGCTGCCACATACAGTGCACGCTCTTTTTGTGAAACTGGGGCACATGATCTTGCTAGTTTCGACCAGAACTGGGAACATGAGCTGATTTTCTCCTGAATAGTGCTGTTTGTCACCAACCTGGTATAGTTCATGTGGCCACCAAGCCCTCGGCTGTAGTATTTGCGGTTGACCGCTGCATCTTGGATGAGCTTGCGGCCCGCCGGTGTGTTGGCCCAAGCATAACTTTTGGCAGGGTCAATCTGCAGGTCCAACATGAGGCAGAAATCTGCCATTCCTTTGGTGGCTTCCAGTGCTTCATGTGCTGTTTCAGCAAGTGCTTGTATGTCATCAACAAAAGACCAGATTTGGACTCTGGGATACCTGTGGTACATGTATACCTCCATGGCCAGATTGCAAATCACCATGCTGACTACGCTCAAGCCGCAACCCTCTGGGTACCCCGTTGTCGAGGTGATGGCTCGCCCTGTGGCCCCTCGTACCTGAAACCTGTGAGTCATTTGGCTCAAGGCTTGCGTCCATGGCTGCATCACTTCATCTGGGATTCCTATGTGCTTGGCAACGTGCTGTAGGACATCCCTGGGTAAGGTGTTAAAACACTTAACAAGGTCAATGGTGGATCCGGCAATTTCAGTGGTACTACCGTACGCATGCTCTATGCACTGCTGGATGTGGAACCAAACTTGTTTTGGGGATCTACCCGGGATGTTACCTATTAAGGAATGAGGGACTAGGTCTTTGAGAAAGTCAAGACATTGTCTGGCTCTGATTGACGACCACGTCCTGTATACCAGAGAGAAAATGCAAATAGGCCTGTACTGTTTGGTGAGCTCTGCATCTGGCGTTTTTGCTAAGGCAGCTACTATACCTGTGGTTATTTGGGCGGGCCATGGCTGGCCTTTTTCCACTTGTTGGATCATGCTGATCAGTTGTTCCAATGTAGACAGTGGCATATGCTGCAAGTCTTGTTTGGAGATTCCATCGGGTCCTACAGCTGCCCCTTTGCGCTTGGAATTAACCGTTTTCCTCCACAAGGTTGGCGTAATGGGTGGAAAGGTAGTTTCTCGTTTGGGCAGCGCAGTTTGCAAGAAATCCCTTGCTGCCTGCCATTCTTCTGCTGCTACATTGTCATGCTTCTTCCATCTGGGTGCCCATTCGTTTTCGAAAGAGTCCAGAATCGTGGGAATATCACCGATTAGTTCTTTGGACAGGATGCTGTCCTCTAGTGCATTTGCAGCTTCGGTCGGGAGCCGAAACTGGTGGTCATCCAGGATTTGCACCTGGACAGGGATGTGGTTGACATCAACGGTTGTAGTACCTGCAGTCATTGGGTTACGCAGGGTTATTATACTTTGTCCTTCGGAATCCGGTTGGATTTGAGTGATTGGGTTGGTAGTGTATTGAACAAGGGATTGAACTGCTTCTGCACGGTCTCTTTGCACATCTTTATAAATCAGCATGGGATCATGGAGTCTGCGTTGTTTGGCAAAGTCATGTCGGGCTGTACGCAGATTCTTTTCAAGCTCACGGTATTGGCGTGAGAATTCCAGAAAAAGGTTATCAGCCGTATCTGCATCTGGTGGTTCAAATGGCAATTGAGCTGGTGTGTTGGCAAAGGTGTGATGCTGATCTTTCCACCATTGCTCAAAACCTTGTGGAAAACCTGCTGCCATTTTGATCTTTCGCCAGAGATTCGCTTTGTGTTCCATGACATTTGTGGTGACCTGGGCTGTCCTGGCAACTCGGCTATAGTGCTGGAGGCGACGGATCTGCTTGGTCCATCTTGCATGGGTCATGTTAGAGCAGGCAAGTTCTGACTGGATGTCTCCTCTCCTATTGGGTTTGACTGGTGCCACTTGGTTTTTGGACCAGATTACTTCTTTTGTGGTGGCCCGTCCTTTTTGGTGGGCTTGGAGATGAGGTAAATTGTTGTGTTGAAGAATGCAATTGGCATAATTTTCTACATCTTTCCATAAGGATTGATACCACTGATCCATATCTTCATTTGGATTAACCTGACATTCCCATTCTGGCCACTGCTGCGTTTGCTTTGGCCATTGTATGGGTTTCGGTTTTCTCCACATGGGGACCAGTGGTGGGGCATCAATGTCACTCAGGGTTACCAAAATGACCGCATGATCGGGGAAAGTTGTCCAATTCAATTGAACATCCATGACATATGGGATCATTTCTGGGCTGAGGTAAAGATAATCCTTAATGGTACTTTTCTTGCAAGTGCATTGAAAAGGTTTTTGCCATTTTAAGTATGCCAATTGTTGTGCATCCATCCAGCCTTTTGCCTCCCATTGATCAGCTTGTGGAAGGTTCCCGCGCTCCAAGTTCCAATCACCTGAAATCATTCGGAGGTCAGTGGCTCCGGTGACAATCCTGGTGGTGAGCCCTTGCAAGAGTCGGTCCGTGTTCTGTTGCACTTCTACTGAATGTGCTCCTTCACTATAGCCATAAACTGTTCCCATGGTTACCCAACGTCTGTTGACGTATGCTGATGTGGCAAGGCATCTTCCTGTGGCATAATCTTCAGCTGACCAATGGTGGACGAGGGATCTGAGTGGGTAGTGACTTACGTAAGCCACCCCAGTGTGCTTGCCTCCAAGCGTTTTAAAAGACTGGGTTTTTGGCGGAGCGGGCGCCCCGTGTGTCAGGTTGAACTTTGTATTTTGCCAAGTGATCTCCTTTTTGAAACGTCCAATACCCTGTGCTGTTAAGTGTGTTTCCTGCACCGCAAAGGTGGCACTGTAGGAGCTCAGTGCAGCAAGATTCGTACTTTTTCCCATCAACCCAGTGGTGTTGGCATTTGCAAAAATGTGAGGCCCTGGCACTGCGGCTTCCCCTAGCCTGTGATTGTTGGTGAGAACTGCTAACAACAAAACTATGGAGCGAAAGAAATTCGCAACCACCGATGTTCGCACTGGTGGATATTTGCTTGCAGACGATCTGGATCTAGGCCTCATTTCCGGTCGGCAAGAGGCTTCCATTTCGTAATTAACTGTGGCTGGTGGTGATAGTCACTCATGCCGCCCTCGCTTGGCGAGCAAAGCCTCTATCTTGTCCATTTGTTCAGCCATCTTCCTGTCCAGGGCATGGGTGATGTGATGGCTTTGTTGGTCCAATTGATGCTGCATCTGATGGACACTTGTTTCAACGCTCGATTGAGAGTGCTGAACTTGTTGGACTGTTTGGTCAATCTGATACACCTTCTGCTCCATGGTGGACTGGTGAGCTTGAACCTGGCTGAGCTGCTGTTCCAGTCTGCTGACTCTGGACTCAAATGCATCAACTTCCATTGGAACGTCCGGGTCACATTGCGCCAACTTGGGGGCGATGGCAGACATGATTCTTTTCTCGACATTGCTTTCCAGTGTTGCCATAGCGGCTGCAGGCAACGTGGGCGGTGGGTGATGGCTGGTCGGCTGCTGCTTCGGTCGGTTCGGCTGCTTCCATGGGTCATTGGCAATCCATGGATCCACGTCTCCTGTGCTTTGGAGGTGTTGCATTGTGCGCCTGGATGCTACGATGGAGTACGGCATAGTGGGCTCAAGCTGTTTTTCTTCATGGAGTTTACTGATGAGGACGTCCCCATGCTGCAAAACGTAAATCCAGTGACTTGGGTCAGATGTGGCCTGGATGGTCCACTGCACTCCATTCCCATCTTGGCTGCGTCCACGTGGTTGCAATGGACGGGCTTCCCACTGCCAGGCTTTCAGCAACTTGGAAATGGCTGCTTTGGTGGTACTGTAAGGCAAAGGGCCTAAGGAGTACAGCATCTTGTGTTGGCCTAAAAGCAAAGGGGTTTCCGGCCGATGTTTCATATGGATCTCTTGTGCATTCATGGCATCGCTTCGAAGTCCATAACGATTGGCATTACGTACCAATGTTGTTGCTTGCGGGGATGTTTGCTGGGCATATTTGGCTTCCTGGAAGGTCAGATTGGGCAACCATGTCACATGGTGGCTGGTGCTTGGATATCTCCCACATGAGGATCAGGGTTCATAGTAAATTCCTCCTGTGCCACTTTTGGTGATCAGTTCTGGGGCCCGGTCTGCAATCATCCTGAAGGAGAAGACAAACATGTCGGCGGTCTTTGCTTTCACCTTCTCATACCTTTTCGTGACCCATTGGCGATCCCAGACATCGATAACCTGCGATTCTCCTTGCTGGTCTGCTTGCAGGAGTGGCTCATTGGTAAAGATGGTCTTCACCGGATGGGCTTGCATCTCATCCCACAAGGCACCTGCTTGGTCTTGGTACACTATGCACCTGATGGCTTCGATTTGTCTTTCATCTACAGCAAGTTTGACCGCTGGCTCATTCCGCTGCACCGATTGGCTTCCCAATTGGTATAGGTAGCCTGAGGCGATGATAGGTTCTTGTGTTTGGTGACACATGGCAGGAAAACGGATTGGTTCACCTTCATGATGTTGCTCATTCTCTTTGGTGGCCAGGACTAGGACAGCCAGTCCTTTTTGGGTGACCGGTCTTGGTAGTTTGAGCACTGCTGCTGCTTCGGCTTGGTCAACCAGCACCACTCCCTCTGCATTGGGTTGAACTTGATCAGCTCTGAGCGACCCCAGTACGCTTCCATCTTGTTGTTTAAAGACCCCAGGTGGGACCTCCAACTCGGATGCAGTGACAACCAATGGTGGCCTGGGCAATTCTGGTTGTCTCTTGGCTGCTTTCACTGGCTTTCGGCCAAATTGGTTTCTGTGACTTGCTCTGGTTGCGATTTGGAAGTCAAGCTCATCTTGCATGATCAATTTCAGCATTGGGCGTACCTGGTTGGCTGCTTGTTTCAATTCTGCCCAGGGTCTCTTGGCTGCCAAGGCATTGCGGATGCTACCATGTGGAATCTTTTCCATGATTGTGGTGGCTCGTTCAGTTGCTCTGTCTGCCCAAACCCCATGCTCAACGAGCAGCTCTGTCAGCTTGTGGCTGAGTTCAGGGTCATGCTTGGTACCTCCAAGAGCTAAGCTGCTGATCACTTGCAGGTGCTCGTCAGTGTCAAGCAAATGTTTGGCGAAAAGGTATCGCCAACCTTCAGCTTGCTTGGGAAGGATTCCAGTTGGCATACATCCTGAGAGGTTGGCGATGATCCATGCAAAGGCCTGGAAGCCGCAATCAGCATGAAACTGTTGAGGGAGGACTTTCTGGGTCACTTCTAAAGTTTTACCCATGTCATTTGCTATCTCAGTGGCCGACTAGATGAAGCAACTACCTTCTGGTGTGGTGCAAAGTTGGATCACACTGTCTTTTCGGCGGATGACTACTGGCACCCAGTGTCGGTCGATAATGGCTGCAGAGGCAAATGTTTGGCTGTCGGATGCTTGATGGATTGGGTGGCAAAGCCACACTCCCGCTTCTTCAAGTGCAGCAGCTTCACTGAAATAATGGTTAGGCTGGAAAACTGTGATCCCCCCATTGATTTCGGCGACAGAGAGGTAGAAGTCCATTTCATCTTTGGCTACCCATGATCCCTGTTTCCATAAGGCTTGGATACGGCTGCACGGAAAGTCAATCTCTGGTGCTGTTTCTTCTGTGGTGAGCCGTGGGCACTTAGTGAGCTTGGGATGTTGGCGGAGCATGATCATTTGTTTGGCATGCAAGGGTTCATAGATTGGCAACGGTGAGTCTACCCACGTTCTTGGGAAGATGGGTTGAACCATAGTGCCAAGCTTCGCTTCTGCCTGTGTGATTTGGCCAGGTGTTACTTCTGTGCTGGCTTTGATTTCACATGGGATTCGTGAGTCTTGGTGGAGCACCCAAATCTGTTGCCATTGCTGATCGGTGGCAGCTGTTGCAGTCTTGTCATATTCGTCTTCTTCACATGCTCTGTTGATCGAGTTGTGTTCGTCAATATTCTGGCTAGAAGCTCCTGAAGGCTTGGTTTCATCTTCACGGGTGTGATCTGGATGACTTGTTTTGTCATCTACGACCGGTCCAGCATCAACAGGTAGGTGTCCACAAAGTGACCCTCCTGCGAGGGTGGTGCCGGTCAACGGTTGCACTGGAAGAAGTTCTTGCCTTGGTGGCTGGACTTGGTCTGCTTTGTGTTGGGCCAACCTTGGATTGATCGCCTGTGTGGTTTGCTGACTGGAGTGAGCGGCTGCTTCACTTGGTTTGTGCAGCTGGCTGCTTGGCTTTGCTTGAAAGTGATCTTGTGGTGTCAATCGGCGCCGTTTGTTGGATTCAAAACCCAGCACTCCTCCATTCGTCGGTGGTGGAGCTTGCGCCTGTTCCAGTGCTAGCAACTGCTGGACGGTGTTAAGTTCTGCTTGTGTGCTGGTGGTTTCTGACTGGAATGGATGTTGCTGTTGATCACTGCTGTCTTTGGGATGCATCGCTGTAGGATGTGATTGGGGCAATCGCCAAGGCATTGATACCCCACACTCTGGATGTGTTGCATCTGGCGGCAACTGAATCCTTTGATCTTGTGACTTGTTGTCAAAAACCCCATGCTCTTGGCTTGGCTTGTATGGGACGTTTTGACAAGGCTGTTGATGGCTTGGGTCACGGATAGGTGTTTAGCTCGGCTGATGTACTGGCTGTTTGGCTGATTGCAAGGCTTTTGTTGGTACATCTGGTACATGTTCATGAACCACCTGGTCTTGACCTGGCTTGAAGTTGGGATCGATTGACTGGGGTTCTTTGTTGGCATGTTCGGCTGCTTGGTGCATGCATTTGTCAGCTGGTTGACATTGATCAGGCTCCGATGGCAGACACTGACTTCGGGCAACCGACTGGACAGGACATGACTTGGACTTCTCGGATGTTTGTGGCAAGGGCCACCCCGCCTGGACACTCGGTTGGACAGACACGGATGTGTGTGGCTTTGGCCACCCCGCCTGGACATCTGACTTGACACTTTCGGCTGTGTTTGGCAATAGCCACCCCGCCTGGACACTACCAAACTGACCAACTGTTGTGTGTGTTTTGGACTGCTCGGCATGACATGGTTTCTGACTGACAGTACCTTCGGATGTTTGTGGCCGTGGCCACCCCGCCTGGACAAGACCGACATGACCGACTTGGGCGTCTACTACCGACGGCCGACTTGACTCTGCTGGGCGTGGTCTGAAGCTGGGACATTCGAATGTTTGTGGCTGTAGCCACCCCGCCTGGACAGGACCTACATGACCGACTTGGACTCCGGTGACATGAGGCGGACATGACATTTCTGGGCATGCTCCATGACTGGGACACTCGGATGTTTGTGGCTGTGGCCACCCCGCCTGGACAAAACCAACATGACCAACTTGGACTCTGGATGCAGGATGAGGACATGACTCAACTGGGCAAGATTCATGACCGGGACACTCGGATGTGTGTGGCTGGTGCCACCCCGCCTGAGACCGAACGTTCGGGCTGACTGGCACTGCATCTGCTACATCGGGGCTCGCCTCTGTTTTGATCAATGAATCATCTTTGGTTGGGCATTGATTGGGACCCATTGGTTGAGGTTCACCCTGTTGTTCTTGCTGGCCATGAGGACGCTCAGATGCACCCAAATCTTGCATTGTGGTGAGGCTACCACCAAGCTGTGAGGAACTACCACCTGCAAAAGGGAGGGAACCCTCAGTTGATACCATGCCACATGACTTCTCACCTGGATTGGACTTGGCTTGAACATGTCGACATTTCTTGGGGGTAAAACATGCACGATGGAAATCTCTGGCGCTCCCATGTTGTTCATTACCTGCACCACTGGGTGGAGTCGGCATGACCAGTGGAACCTTCTGTCCTGCTTCTTCTCCTTGTGATTCGTGACGAGCTGGTTGGCTAGGCACTTCCTTTGCTTCCGGACCTGGATGCACAGCTAAGGATGCTTTGGGTGTTTCGTCCAAAACTTGAGCGGGGTGCAGGGTCCATGGTGTGACGGTGGCATCTTTCATGTGATCAATCATGAATTGAAAACTTCGACATTCAACTGTCGTTTGTTCCCCAAAAACTTCATCCCTGGCTTTTAACAGGTTTCTCATCAGCCTAAGCAAGACCGTTTCTGGCTTGGAAGGTTCCGGCAAAGCAAGCAATTGATGGAGGTGTGTCATCATGCATGCTCCGATCCATGCTGATTGCAATGGCGATGCCAACTGGCCTAACGCACACAAGGCCAGGCGTGTCTGAGGACCCCATGAACATCCTGGATACATCCCATTCAAAAATGCCAACTCATCAGGTGAAATGTGCCGGAAATTAGGATAGACATTGTTGCCACATCTCGATTCCCCAAACAGTCTGATCAAAAGTCCATGTAATCCACCTGAATTCAGTCGCTGTTCCGTGAATGGATATTTTCTGCACCCACATGGACAACCCATCAGTTGGTTTCCACAACTATGGAGACTGGTCGCCATTTGCCCCTTCCAAGGCACCATGTTGGACTCAAAACCAAAGGCTGCGAATTTCCCCAACTCGTAAAGGTCCAATTGCAGTTGTTTGAGGGTGTGTTCATCCACATGTTGAAACTGCTGCAAAACATGGGCTACCATGGGTCTTGGGTTGACCTCAGGACATGCTTTCAACTGGACTGCACCAATGGCCGGATGTGCAAGTACACACCACCAACGACTACGACGTGTTGGCCAAATCTGTTGGAGATGGAGTACGTCTTGTGTGATGTGGTACCCGGTTTCCTTGGCAAAGTCCTTCAGTGTCTGTTGTACCCATGGGCAAGTTTTTGCCTCGGATACACATTCTAAGACTATCAGTCCATACTGGCCAAGGAATCCTAAACGCAGCACACCAGGCAGTGTTTGTGACCTGGGGTCTTCTTGATGTCTACGATCGCCGAGTCTGCTGTACGGTTGACAGCTGATACCTGCCGCCAAAGTTTTTGCTGCTGGGAATTTCTCACTGAGATCGGCCAGAAGCTGATCTGTACAAACATCTCCATGGATTGTCTCGGATGCATGCAGTCGTTGGGCTAAGGAAAACAAAGACTGATTCCAATCACACCTGGCGGCAACCTCAAACCCCGACTCTTCCAGACCAACGCCTAGACAACCAATGCCTGAGCATACCTCTACAACTGATCGCAACTCCCTGGCAGAAATGCTTGGCTTGTCAAAAATCCTAGTGGCTTCACCTGCTTGCAAAGTGCCTGCAGATGGTACAACCGCTTTGACCACAAGGATGATGGTGACCCCTGGCTGTAAATGCCCTTTGAAACGCATGAAGGTTCCCTTCAAAGCAGTCTTGACCAGGTGACAACGCTGAGACTCATCATGAATGGCTACTTGCAACAAACCAGTATAGTCAACCCCAATGATTGGGGGATCTTCCAGATGTAGTTCACCCATGGCTAAGCAAAACACCCAAGGTTTCGATGTTACAGTGCCACTACTGGAAAGACTTGGGCCACAGCACTGGGTCAAAACCCTGGTACCCTAGGTACCTGAAATAGCTGGTTAATAGTTCATGGATGTAAAAGTTCTCATACTGCAGATGGAAGAAAGCCTGCACCAATTGGTAGACGGCTTATCTCTTTCCAAACCCTTTACTTACAGTGGTTCATAGTTACCAATAGTTACCCTCTGGTAAACTAACAGTTTGTGAACTTGAAAATGGCCCAGTCGAAATAGTTGATTTACCCATGAAACATGGTGGATCTTTCCACCGTTTGTTGAATTTTTGTATGTTTACCAGGCCGGGTACCAACTGGTCAGAATTTCGCACGCATCCACAACTCGGATTTGACCCATCGCCTGAGCCTTATCCCCTCGGATGCTGATCTTGGCATTGTCAAAGCGCACCTGGCTGCCGGGAGCTGCATCTGAAGAGCGAGATCAAGTGGTTGTTCACTGCTGGAAAATACCCAACAAAAACATGGTGAATCCCCATGGTCCCCCATGAAAAATCACCATAGTTGCCATATGTTGCCATAGTTGATGAGCAAATCCCATAGTTGATGAGTAAATCCCAACAAAAACAATGGTGAATTCCCATTGCTGATACGCTTAAGTTCCCAAGCATAGCACCATGGCAGTACCCAACCATCCCCCGATCCCAAGAGAGGCCGGCCTGGTTCCAGGGTCGCAGTGCAAAACCACGATCCGCTGGGAAACTGAGCGTGGCACTCATCAAAGGTGGATTTGTTTTGGGAAATCCGATGAACACCTTTAAATACGGAGGAAATAAAACCAAGGAATGAATACCCATGATACACAAAAGTTCGGGAAATACCTTAAGGATAGGCTTGTTGTTTATCATGTAGGAAGCGATGATTTTTTGTATGTCATGTCTTATCCTCATTTTCTCTAAGTATCCTGCATGTTCAATCCAACGTGATGGACCAAACATATCCCCAAGTGATGAGCTCAGTTTGATGGGTGATATCAATGACATCCGAAGCTGATCATGCACCATGACTGGTGTGATCTTTGGGAATATCATCACTGGTTGGTGGTGCAATAACCATCTTGAAAAATATGAGTTGGTCAATGGGAAGGATGACAACCCATATATTATGGAACAATAAAAAATGTTTGAAACCACCAACCAGAGTATTTGAGTGATTCTGTACAGATTCACATTCCACTTAGGTGAGTTCTAATGCTCACAGCTGATCAGCCATACTCGTTGATGAAGTTAACAAGATTGCCAGCGGTGATGGCCAATCTTGGATACCCCTCCGCTGTCGATCCTGTAAAAACAAAAGGATCATTGCCACCCCTGGGTTCATGTGGGTATGGATCAATACCTATTAATACCATTTTTAGGGGAATGAACATCCATTTACCAGCTATTTTGATGTTCACCAGGGGTACAAGGTTTTGACACACTGCCATTTTTTGTCTTTCCAGTGTTCATGCAAAGCCGCCTCCTGACCCCCCACTGGCTACAAAAATATCAAGTCCAGCTCAGTACCTCAAAATGATCAATCCAGCAGGGTTTAGCCATGGGTTTAGCCATGTTTACCCACATGTTCATGGCGTTTCATGGTACTCCCCCAGCTTTCTTGGTTGAAACATGTTGAAACCACCAGAACTTCTGGGCCGCCAACTCAGGGTTGCCACCTATGAGCCATGAGACCTCGGAGGTAGGTGGAGGAAGCCAAACGATGCTTGGATGAGGATGGGTTGTTCACAATGGGCTAAGGTCAATTAGTTTGCCAACAATCAACAATTAACCTAGGTTGATAAAATGAAAATGGTTTGGGATTTTTCCAAATCGATAATTAATCAAGTTGGTTCGTAAATTACGTTGCCAACAAACATTGGAGAACAACCTATCCAACAATTTTGCCAAAATTATTGGGACAGTTCACCCAAAAAAAATGAAACTTAACCAAGTAATCTACGACAGGTAAGTCGGTAAGCATAAGTAGGTCAACTATAATATATAGGTTTGTTGGGTTGCCCGCCCCAAAATATCCATAATATTGCAAGAACTGCCTTCCCGAGTCATGATTCGGGGAATATTGTGCCCACGTTGAAGTGATGTCTATGTTTTTTTGGTTTAACTCTGTTTAGGGTACCATCACTGAAAAACAGGTATAGAATTCTATAATCCCATGATCAGGACAGTCACTTTCTCTATGTCAAAACTATCATACCGCCAACTTACCACCCTATGAGAGGTCTGCAGCTAGAACATAGAGAAAAGGAAGGAGGAATGTAGTACAAATCTTTGGACTAGTGATCCAAGACCAAACAGCTGCTGTTAGGACAGCCAATTTAACCCTGCCAACATTTGCGGTTGAGAACTTCCCCCTAAACAATTGCCTTTCTGAGGGTCTATGTGAGTTGGGAGTTGGGAGGATGGTCAATTCCCATTGATCATGTTTAGCTTGAATTGCTTGAATCCACATGTCAATCATTTTCAATGATCAAATCACCATTTTGGCTCTTTCAATCAGAATTCTTGTGACTTTTCTGGGAGATACACCTGCAATTGAACCCCGATTCCCTGGATCCCAGTAGCGTTTCCTCAGCCGGGGGTCCCCAACGGCCCCAAGTCTCGTGGTGCGAAACCTGGTGCCAGGTGATGCCTCAGTGACCTGCCGCAGCAGGCGCAGCGGAAGCCATGGCTGGCATGGTGGCAGCTACAATGTGGGGCCCTCCAGTGATGTGAACGTTGCTTTATGAACCCAATTCACTATAGGTAGAAGTATCATAAACCATAGTGAAATTGGAGTTATGTGAACCCCAACTTAGCGATTTCGTTTGGGGGCTCCACATTGTAGCAACTGTTTGCATCTTTTTTGGGGGGAAAAGGGGAAACAAAAATAATCACATGGTGAAACAGGTTCGGATCTGCATAAAAACCCAAGGAAAGGGCTGCCCAGAACCTACTTCTTGGTTCAAATAAGGAGTTGAGGGGTTGCCAACTGTTGGAAGGACCCGCTTGATCTGGAATATACATCAAACACTACAATATCTCTTTGTCTTCATCCTCTGACTATGAATCCACCCAAATCACTTTTCAAATTCTGACCCAGAAGCTACATCCATGATCTGTGGGCAAAATGGGTAAACAATATGGAAACGTTCAAAATACAATGTGATGAATGTCATCTATCACATCCTGGAAAAGTGTGTCTACTTATTACTTCGGGAGTTCCCAAAAACCCAATAATCCATCATTTTCCACCCAAACTCCTATTTACAAATACTTTAAATCGGTATAAATCATCGTTAAATCTTGTAGGTGACAACTTGTTGTATCTGGGATTTCTATAAAAGTCATGGATGCAATCAGCCTCTCATCTCATGTCACATCCGCCTTCAACATCACCGGACCCTCTGTGAAAGCGTACCTGGGAACAGGTGACATCGAAGCCCGACTTTTTCGCAGTGGTGGTGGGATAATAATCTATGGATAATGATCTATGGATAATAGTCTATGGATCATAATCCAATTATGGATAACAATAATAATCCAACAATAATCTATCCCATATGCAACCCATGGTGCTGGAATATTGACCAACATTTACCCGAACAAAATCACCCAGTTGTGCAGGTAGTTATATACCAGCACCATGGTTCGCATTAATGGGATGGGTGAAGAGTGGCTTTCTCAAAGGTATCAGTTTGTCTGAAAATAGGGCAAAGCCATGCAAGCCACAAAGAGTAGCTTCAAGAAATGTGTGTCATGCAGGTGGTGCCCCCCCCAGTTATAAATTGGTGAAATAAGCCCATGAATACTATAGATATATCACCAAAAAAAAACATAGTTATTGGAGTTATGTTCACCAACTTAGCTATCGAACGGGGGCACCACCTTGTACAATATTGACCGGAACCTGTAGCTTGGAGGGATCTAAACATTTGACCCACCTAACTTGATCAGAGTGTCTGAGAGACTCAGAAGCTACGCCTTGAGAAAGGCCTCATGTTTTCCACCGTTTACCGAACGGGGGAACATCAATTGGCTCTGTAGACTAGGAAAGCCTGATACTGTCCTCCTTCCGGCTGGACACCTCCGGCGTGTTCGTTGTTTGATGCCCAAAGTCGCCTCCAGACATATCCGTATCTGGAAGTATGGG